TAATATGTATATGCACATATATTCACAAATGTATATTTATTTGTGTATTTGAGCATACATCTAGTACCAATTGCTGCCTGGGTATACCCTGTTTCTTAAGGCACAGTCTCTCTTAAGAGAATCATTAATCAGTGAGTTCATATTTGTAAGCCATCTGTTTTTTTGGAGACTCATCTCCTGTTTGAGTTTCTCTTTATTTAGCAAAATTTTTATTTTGAAAAACAGGTGAATACTGGATTGATCCTAACCAGGGATCTGTTGAAGATGCAATCAAAGTTTACTGCAACATGGATACCGGAGAAACGTGTATTTCAGCAAACCCATCCAGTATACCTCGCAAAATGTGGTGGGCCAGTAAATCTCCAGACCATAAGCCTATTTGGTATGGTCTTGATATGAATAGAGGCTCTCAGGTAATTTAATATGCTTACTTAGGAGTATATCCTTTGCTTTTCATTCTTTATTGTGTTTTGTATTTATTAAGACTATGCTTTTTTTTTTTAACCAGTTTTGTTTTACCATGTGTATTTTGAAATAATATATTCTCATCAGTTATAATTGCAATATCATGGTATAAACAAAGTTTTACTGGAGTTAATTTAACATAAATTTTGAATTACAATTTTCTCATTGATGGAATGTAGAAAAGACATTATTTTTCTTGCCAGTTCCTCTGAGATATATGGCCCTGACTGCAGAGTGTACTGGTGAGGATCTTGTCTCAGTAGAAAAACTGTTATTATTGTATATTTAGCTTCAGGAGTCCTCAATGACTCTTAGCGGGATCTCTTACTCACTTTGGGTCCTTATAAAGTTGCTAAACCTTTTGGATCCTCAGTTTTGCCAATTTAAAGGGAGGGTAATAATATTCATCCCATAGTGTCCATGTGAATATAAAGTGCTTAGTGTAGTGTCTAGAACTACATGATAAGTGGTAAATAAATATTAGATAATACATTTAGTATACAAATGTTAATATTTGAATCATTTTTAAACTGTGCAGTATTATTTAAACTTAAGGAATTTTTGTAATTATATAAATCCTATTAAGATTTTTCTTAGTCCCAGTCTCGAGGTCCAGGGTTCACTCATCCAGCCTTGCCGCTTCCTTTTACAATGTGAATATTTCATTCTAGATCTATGTATGTCAGTATGACTGAAATTTTCTTCTCCACCTCTGCTCCTGACATTTCTCCAGAACTCATGCTCAGAAATACATTATGTGAAAACATTACGGGCCTGTGCATGATGTTCTAGAACCTACCATTACTGATGAGCAAGAAATTTAAATATTTATGTATAAGTAGTTGAAATGTAATTTAGCTAATATAGTATTATCTTAAAAACGCAATGAGAGTGCTAACAATGAAGCTCGAACTAGAGTATGACTAGGAAAGAATCTGTGGAAAATTCTTGCATAACAGTTTGAGTATCAGTAGTTTATCCTAATTTTGTACCAATAGCTTATTCTTCATTTTTACTATAAAACAGGGAAAACAATGAATTATTTTTGTATATGATTAAATCAAATTTAAAAATATACCTTCTTTGGTGAATTATAGTTATTATTTGTTTTATTAATTCTTTCTTTTTTTTCAGTTTTTGGCTGGGGCTGGGTTTGAACCCACTACCTCCGGAATATGGGGCCAGTGCCCTACTCCTTTGAGCCACAGGCACCGCCCCGTTTTATTAATTCTTATTTGAGGTAGTAAGGGCAAAAGTTAATTCTTATTTGAGGTAGTAAGGGCAAAAGTTCTTACTTGTGCGAATTCATAGAAATTTTCAGATATTTTTATATGTAAAGGTAGTGTAGCTTGTTATGTGACAAGATTTAAGGAAATATTCTTCAAAACTGATCTGTTTGAAATCAATTATCTATCTATGCTCATGTAAAATATTATGAAACCCTTCAGTGTTCTGTCTAACAAAGATTCTTTTTGTTTTCATAGTTCACTTATGGGGACCACCACTCACCTAATACAGCCATAACCCAGATGACCTTCTTACGCCTTTTATCAAAAGAAGCTTCCCAGAACATTACTTACATCTGTAAAAACACTGTAGGGTACATGGATGATCAAGCTAAGAATCTCAAGAAGGCTGTGATTCTTAAAGGGGCAAATGATTTAGAAATCAAAGCAGAGGGAAACATTAGATTCAGATATATAGTTCTTCAAGATACTTGCTCTGTAAGTACTTTTTTATTCATACTGATATGGTTAAAAATTTTATTTTGGTTGAGAATACTGTTATGTCACTGGAAGTCAGGCCAATTTTACCTGCCTATACATGTGTATGAGCACAACAGTGGCTTGGTTATAATCATTTTTAAGGGAAGCTTGAATGTATGTTAGCACACGAAACATGGTGGAGGTTTGAAGGAAAGGGCTGTTCTGCAAAGTTATCTTACCAGATCTCAGTCCTATGCTTAAAATTTCTTAATTCTAAAACATATAATCAATCTGAGATAACTTATATTTTTCACTGATTTTTAAGTCTTCCTTCTTTCATACTAAGGACACATTGAATGTGAAAAATAAAAAAAAAAAGCTTTAATAATATATATTGTTAGTGACCAACAGGGAAGATACAAAAGAACAAAGGAAATTACATTAAAGCATGAAAGAAATGCTGAACGCACGTAGTAATAGGTGTGCCAGTACCTTACTTTTGTATTACCAGTGTTCTTTTAAGTAGTGCTCTAAAAATCATTGTTTTTACAATACAAAGTTGGCTGGGAGGTTGCTGTTTAACATCCTTGGAAAAATCTGTATGTATTCTTAACCTATCGCATTATTTAATTCCAGAAGAGAAATGGAAATGTGGGCAAGACGGTCTTTGAATATAGAACGCAGAAGGTGGCGCGCTTGCCGATTATAGATCTTGCCCCCGTGGATATCGGCAGCACAGACCAGGAATTTGGCGTAGAACTCGGGCCAGTTTGTTTTGTGTAAAGTAAGCCCAGATACATCGGCAATAAGGACCACCATCAATGACAACCACCATTCACAAGAACTTTGACTGTTTGAAGTTGATCCTGAGACTCTTGAAGTAATGGCTGATCCTGCATCAGCACTGTACATACGGTCTTACGTGCCTGGCCTCCTTATCCTTCAGAATATTTATTTTACTTATGATCCTCAAGTTTTAATTGATTTAAAATATTTTTCAATACAGCAGTTTAGGTGTAAGACGACCAAGGACAATGACCACCTTTTAAAAAAGTAAACTGATTAAATAAACAATCTCCGTTTTCTTCCATTTATTTTGATGTAATGAAAAAGATGCTTAGTATTTATGAGGAAATTCTTCTTCCCGGCAGGTAGCTTAAAGAGTGGGGTATATAAAACCACAACACACGTGGCTTGCTTGAGGCTACACTTTGGAAAATAGAAAGTGCTCTTTCGTGACTTCTTCCCAGATTATTAATTAAAAATGGAAATGTTTAACTTTGTGATTGAGACCCACATGCATGTCTTGATATTGTGTAACTATTATAGAGATGCTTGAAAAGAATCCTTAAAAAACACCAGTTTCTCAATGTCTTAAGTGGGATTTTCAAAAAATATATATTCAATGGCATTTTAGGAGAACACAGTGAAATGACTTCAACTTCTTACATATGTGTAAAGTGTGATAACATTAGACTTCTTTCTTATTCAAATTTAAGGATACCCTTGTCCACCAGAGCCAATCTATCTATGTGGATAGAAGTTACACTAGTATACTATTTAATACATTAGCTATTTCTTATTTAAGAAGATATTGAATACAAAATAGTAGAACTTAATAGACACATGTCCAGGACCCTAAGTTGAAACTCCTCCACACATAAATCTTATCATCCTGAAGCCTATAATGAAGAAAAAAGATCTAGAAACTCAGTTGTGGAGCTGACTCTAATTAAATGTGATGATTGGAATTAGACCATTTGACCTTTGAACTTTCATAGGAAAATGACCCAACATTTCTTAGCATGAGCTACCTCATCTCTAGAAGCTGGGATGGACTTATTATTCTTCTTTATATTTTAGATACAGAAAGGTGCTATGCTTCTGTTATTATTCCAAGACTGGAGATAGGCAGGGCTAAAAGTATTATTATTATTTTTCCTTTAATGATGGTGCTAAAATGCTTTCTCTAAAACTCTTTGACAATAAAGATGGCTTCATCACTATCATTGTGAAAAACCTAATTGCTAGACATCCCATTTCTGAAAGAAAGAGCATTGTTCCAATGCCTTTCACTGTTCCTCTGTCATATGTATCTGGAATGCTTTGTAATATTTGCATGTCTCTGAGACCAGAACAGTCCCCTTGTGCCTCGAGATTTTTAAAAAATTGCATTTGTTGACTCTTTATTTTTTTCTTTAAAAATAAATAACTGGGACCATCCCAAAGGACAAGCCATGCACACAACTTTGGTCATGTATCTCTGCAAAGCATCAAATTAAATGCACGCTTTTGTCATGTCAGTGGTTTTCGTTTTGTGGAATTCCTTTGAACGTATTAGACCCATTTTATTTCCAGTAGTAACAAGTAAGGTGTGATGATCTTCTTTGTTTGCCATTTGTTTAAAAGACACACCAAATACCTTCTGGCATGTATGTACCGGTTTATAAACAAAAACTCTATCTGCAATATTACCCACAAAGGCAACATGACACAAATTATTACTATCTATGCCCTTTAAAATGTCTGGGTAGTATTACCGATAAAAAAAAAAGGGAAGGAAATAGACTTTTCATGGCTGAATAAACTGTGATAATAAAGCATATGTCTCAAAGTGTCTCACATATGAATTTAGCCTAAATGTTTTCAGAATTTTATTTTCAATATTTTACCACAGCATTTTTCCTAAATTGGTTATTATTTGGGCTCTCTGTCCCTAAATACATATGTGACTTTTGTTGAACTTCCTTTAAGTTTAACCTATATAGGTTGTATAAGTTCAGATAAATGAGCCAGGAGTATATAGTAATTCTGTTAACTCAAAAACACTAATACTTTCCAATGACAGAAACACCGGTTTTTAATTGACGCTCAGGAATGCTAATGTTACAAATACAAGACTACCCAGGCTTTCCCAAAGCTCTCACATTTCTTGTCTACATTCCAGATATCGAGGTCTTATTAGACTAGTGGACTTCTTTACCTTCATGCACAAGGGCCTCTCAAATTCTACATTATCTAAAGGGTAAATCTAGATCTGAGGGGTGTGGTGGGATTGATTTATTATTAATTTATTAAAAATGCAAATAAAAATTACCAAAATAAAGATAAATAAAGAAAATTTTAAAATATTAAAGAAAGCACAAACAATGCTGGAAAAGTCACAAAATTGTAACATGAAATTTGATAAATTCTGGCCAGGTTCAATGTAATTTGTTCCAAATGAGAAGAAATTCAAGGAAATTACACAGAACAACTCCTCTGAAGAAAATAGTGTTATATGTCACAAAGCAAGTGCAAAATAATCTGGAAAGGAAAACTCCGGGGATCAGCAGTATCACACTTGAGTATCCCACCACGGATAAAGAGCATATCAAGAAAGAATTTTTCTTTGAATTATAAAAATTTCAAAAGAAACGAAGAACAATTTCTTATAAGTCAATTTTAGGGCTCGCGTTCAACAGCAGTAAATTAAAACAATGATGTGACAGCAATAAACCAAAAAATCTAGAGAGTATGGGGCAAGCCAGGAGGCTGATTTTTCATCCAAATGGCTGATTGATTTAAGAGGAGCTTTTCTTCTTAGCCTTGTTTGTCAATGCATGATTTCACCCATGACTTAAGTGTTGGCATTCCCGGGGATCAGTCTTATTATCCTTCATACTCAGTGCTCTCTTATCGTCTACCCTTATAACCATGCCAGTGGCTTTAATAGCTCCTAATGCCCAAACCTCCCCTTGAAGCTTAAGAAACACATACACAATACAACAATTAAGTTCATGAGATCAATCTAGAAAAAGTGCTACATACCTCATTTCTGAATTTCACTGTGGTCACCCAATGGCCAAGGGGAGTACTTTGAAGTACTGACCAGTATGTCAATGCTTGACTCACCTTCTTCGTGTGAGTTTCAGAGGCACCTGTAGCTCTGTACGTCAAAAAAAAAATTAGGAAATTTCTCACTGAAAGCTGGTATATGTTCTAGATTCCCTGTCTCACACAGTTGCCTCCTCCTCCATCTTTTAGGCAGGCCAGAAAGCTGAGAGTCACTCTTGTCATCTCTCTCATTCTCGCCAAGCCAGAGTCCTGGAATTGCTAAGTGTTTTAGTTTTGACCTTTAAATATTTATTAAGACCATACTTTCCTCTGCATCTCCACTGCCGCTATTCTGGTCTACCTAAACATTATGTCTCAGCTGGGCTCCTTCAATAGCCTCCTGAAAAGCTTTTAGGTGTCTGCTCATGCCCTCTTCAGATACATGCTCTCCACTCTAGCCAGAGCGGTCAGTTGAAATACAAACCTGAATATGTCA